TCTCTTAGGGAAAACTATAAAGAAATATACCTTTGGCTCGTCAATATATTAATTTAAAAAATTAAAATATATATGCATACTAACAAAATTAGTTTTATAATATGATTGATAATAACTAGTGGGAATGAGTCACACTACCATGCTGTTTCTAAATGTTAAACATTTAAAATACTGACACTTATGTCTATCTTGTAACTAACTAATAATATAAGTATGTAAAGGTTACTGTAGTAACTTAATGATTAAATGTTGGTTAATTTTATTTATTTTTTTATAATATTATGTAATTTATTTATTTTTAATTTGAAATTCCTAATAATTTCTATTTTTTTACACTTTTTATACGTATGATAATAAAATGAATGCATGTTGTGATTATTTTAGAAATACAATTATTTTGAGTATTTAAATATCGTGTATAATATCTGTAAAACTATTGTCATATCTGTTGATGATCTTAATAAAATAAATAAATTAATTAACATTCTCAAGTCATGTAAATTCTAACTCCACTCTAACACACTTCAAATACTTCAAAATACGGAATCTGTGGTTTTGAATGATTCTATGTGGAGTAAATTTTAAGTGATCCTATTGCTTGTGAGAATGTTATTTTTAGTACCTATATTTTTGTTATCTGTTTGTGATCGGCTAAAGAAATATTGATTATTTACCCAACTGCGACGGCGTCAAAAGATTAGTGTTTTTGGTTGCCTTGAAGTGTAAGTCTGTTGTTACGTTAGCTCTTAACTTCTAAAAAAGGCGGACATGAATTGTCAATTTTTATTTTATAGAAGTGTTTATTCCCCATAAACGAGTACAGTCCACCTGATAGTTAGTGGATACTGTGGCCCAAGATCAATCTCAAAGACATCTATCGTCCATTAAGAATCTTCTGAAGTTTAAGATGAAATACTTCGTTATGATTCGTTCGTCATCCAACAAAAAGGATCTTCAGATTTTATCACTTTCCATAGGTAGTATATTTTATGCTGGCATACTGTTCGACTATTGTCTTTCTACGGTGGAGCTGACCTATTCATGTAGCAGCAATCATACGCCACAGCGTGGTTCTACTATGTAAAAATAAGCAAATATGTCATGAGGAGCATCAAAATATAACATGTTGTATTTGATGAGTACATTGATTTGTATATGAGATGTATTGAATAATATTAAAATAATTTTTATCAAATTTAGGAGCGCTTTTGATAGAATATATTTTGTCTGACGACATTTTATTATAACCTACATAAATTAGAAATTACAGTGGTATGAATAAAATAGTTCAATTTTTTGACTTTTATATTTAGTCAAATTATAATTTATTAGGTGGATAATGTTTATTAGCGATTAAAAAATCAGCTCATAGCATACAATATCTACTTATTGAAAGTCATATATGCTGTTACCGTTGGTTAGAATAAAACCTTCTAGGGAAGAATCAGCAGGCAAGAGCCAGTAGAAGCCAAAGGGGAATTAATAATAATAAAAGTTAAAGTTAAACTTTTTTTCTCATTGTTTGGTTGAACAATAGATGGACATACAATACTGGAACAAAATATAACTCTACACGCTACGTGTTCATCCCCTTATACGTAACCACAACTAACATAAACAGGGATGAGAATTAAAGAAAAACAGGAAACAGATAATAATATGCCAATAAATATATAATTATCAAATATGTTAATAAATATATAATATTTTTATACCTACACGCCGCAGCTATATCAGTAGTATAGTTGTAGCACGAATGGGTTGGCTCGAACGGGGAAGGACCACGCTCTCATAGAATACCAGCGTAAAATATCAACTTAACGCTGCTGTGTTTCTTATGGTGAGTGTAGAGAACCGGAGACACCTTTTACTGGAAACGAGGCATTTTATCTGAGTCCTCACGGGTGCCAACGCATTTTGATTCGTAGTTGAGGATGGATGTAGATGTCTATGGGTCACAGCGACTACTTGCCATCAGGTGGACTGAGTGCTCACAAAAAAATACATGAAAACTAGATTCGTTACAGCTACAGTTTGTGGGTTTAAATGCTTACATTCTATATTACATAAATCTACTAATTTTATAACATTTCAAATTTTGGCATATTTGTGATATAATGACATCATTCTGGTAAGTGGAGAGGTCCGACCTAAATTACTTTTGTAGAGACGTCCTTCTTCTTCTTTGAACAACTAGCGCGGTAACTTATTTAGCATAGATATATTAATTTTACTTAGAAGTTGCGGTCAGTGGACACGGTTATGTAATAATTGATGCAAGAAAATAAGATCCAATGTTTTCCTTCTACGTTACAGATTATATACGCCCCACCGCTGGGCACAGGCCTCCTTTCATTTTTGAGAAGGTTTTAGGGCAAAGAAATGTCCGCCGCGCTACCCCAATGCGTGTTGGTGAACTTCACATGTCTTCAAAATATATATTTTTTTATTTCTCAAACATGCAGATTTCCTCTCAATATTTTCCTTCACCGTTAAGAACGTGGTAAATCAACACTTAAGATTGTCATTAATTTACAATATGTTTCACACCTAACTGTGAAAACAATTAGAAAGTGCATGGTAGCGATCATCTCGTTCTCAGTATTTTATTGCCATTGACAACAACTGTTTGCCTTCTATTACTCGTACTTTAAGTGTTAATAACTACAAGCGTCATGTTTTTAGCATCATGTTCATAAATGTCTCATGGTGAACACAGTCGAAGGCCTTGGAAAGGTTACAAAATATTTCCAAAGCATCTTCTGAATTCACCCATGCATAGAAAATATGTTTAATCACCACAAAACCTTATTAACAAAAGATCTATTATTTGGCGATCATGCTATGAAATATATTTAAGAAGTATTGAGAGTCTACAAAATAAATTTGAATTGACTTTTTCTTGACTTCTTACTTAAAAATTATTTTAGTGTAACTTTTTTTAGAAGTTCTTCATAAGGACAAGACCTGTTTATAAACCACAAAATTATCCATTCGGACGTTGCCACACCTACTTTTCTTGCACAGTTGGATTTAAATAAGTCATATAAAACAACATCTATTACTATCCTATTTTACGGATCCGTCGACTATAATACCAGTAAACGATCTCGACATTTTCGTTTAATTTATATTGATAGGTGTACATTATTGTGCATATATATATGAATGATTTTTATTACATATCTTAAATTAAAATAATATGTTTTTGATTGTCGCACCCACACTTAATTCTACAAAGTTCTTACGCATGTATACTTACAAAATGTTTTATTTCAGTGATTGTAAACTGTTTATGCAACTTTAAATAAAATAAATATAAAAATAAACTGGCGTGATTTGTATTTCCTTTATATACTAGTTGTACTTGGCCAAGCTTGGGGGTGGGTCAATTTTTTTAATAAGTACGCAACGCTATATCAAAGTTTCAGAGCAATCAGTGAAGAACTATCGGAGATTTATTAACAAACGAACAATTAAATTTTTATTTATATAATATATACTTCAACAATTGCAATTTCCATATTTGCTGAGTCAGCAGCTTAACTTGTGTGGTTCTTTGCGTTTAGAAATAATAAATAACTAACTTGACGCGTTTCCATTTATGACTTTTTACAATTTTTGTTTTCTTTTTTTGCGTAATATATTACACAGTAAAATAATTGTTTTCTTTGCCTGTGTGTTAAGAATTTAGTAAAAAAAGGTCTTTAGTATTACATAGTTTCATTTATTATGACCAACTGACCAAGGGTTCTGTATAAATTCAAATAAATTAGCAAGTGTATTGTGTATATTTCACTTTTGGGCTCCTAATAAATTAACTATTTCTTCTAACTTACTTACTTACTTATCTTCACGCACAATCCCTGACGGGGTAGCCAGAGAGAACAGATCGCCAAGTGTCACGATCCTTACATATCTCTTTCGCTTCTTTCAGATTCTAACGGAATTTGATATAAATTTGAGATATTTAAACGATAACTATTACTGATGATAATTTAAAAAAAAAACATCCTACCGACTATAATCGTCCTACAAATATACAGAAATCAATTATAAGAAAACTATTTAGGTGAGGTAACTGTCTTGTAAACTGGTTTTAATTAAATTTAGGTAGATTTCCTATAACTTTTAGAAGACAATTCGCAAACTATTTACATAATTTAGTGTTATGTCAGGGGCATGTTGAAATAGCTACTTATAACATTTAATCAAATTTAACTAGCGCGCGAAACCACGATTCATTTCAAGAACAGCAGAACCTGTCTGTCGAAAAAATACATGCAACGTTTTTTCCCCTTGACAAAATGAGTTAAAAAACTATTCCATCGGCCATCGCGAAGGTCATGCTTTTAATTTTTTTAATATATATTCAGGATATTAAATTAATTAGTGCCTACAAGATTGTCAATTTGCATCCAAAATGAATTGTTTTTTATGATTAGTACCTTCAAATAAAAAAAAAAGAATACTTAATCGTTATAATTATTTAACCTCATATTAATTAAGCATTATCTATTTGACCGTGTAGCGATGGTTTAAGACTATCTCCTACCCCATATCGTCCCGTGGGTGTCGTAAGAAGCGTCAGAGGGAAATTAACCAGGAGATGGACAGCAGCGTCTTTCTAATAACAACTAAAAAATAAAAACTGTGGTTGCCAACCCGCCTGCTAAACGTGGCAACTATAACTAATATGAGGCCTATGAGACAGTCTATCGGAAGGCCTTTGGTTAGTATCGTACATTTAATAGGCTGTAACGGATAGCGAATTTAGAAAATACATAAAATCAGTTTGCTTGAAAATTTGTTTTTCACGATATATTATTAAAATATATATATTTTATAGGCATTGAGTTTTTATAAGTAAGTCAAAGATGAATAAATTTAAATAAAATATAAAGGTACAAACACTATTAAAGTTAATTGACTTCTCTGTATAAATATATAAAGTGCATATATATGTAATTACGTAAGTGCAATACTTTGTGTTAACGACAATGTCGAAACAAGAAGAGATAATGACCGATTTCAAGCCGAAAGAGACATGGAGGATCGTGAAAAACGTAGTCGTTATCAGCACAGCTTTTATGGCTCAGTTCACAGCGTATAGTGTGAGTATTTTCTTATTATTTACCTTTTTATTATTTAATGAGGCTTTTTTAATTAGAAATAATAAATAAAGTTACAAAAAGAAAAGAAGGATGAGGTGTTTGACAGCTCCGTGGCGTACTGGCTTAGCAATGAGTTGCTGTGCTGGGGGCCGCGGGTTCGAATCCCGCAATTTTACGGAATATATTGCGTTTAATTTAACTTTTTAATTTCCGACGTTAGACCACAAATCTTCGCAAAAGAACACAGATTCCTACCAAGGATGATTCGCGAGGCTATTGAAATTAAAAACATTCTAATTTCAATAGAGAAGATGGATGGGTGCTGCCATCTGCTTGGGATCCTATAATTAATAAAATCAAATCCAAACTCAACTCATCTCATTCTGCGTAGATCGGACCAAAAATTAATATTCAAAAACTGAACGTAGCCCGGCTAACTATGACATCGGGAGGTCAAACACCTCAGAAGCATCCGAAACGTCCGTAATTAAAAAGTTAAATACACGCGATGGAATCCGTAAAATTTAGTTTAATTTAATGTATAATGTTCGCGTAAATATAAGAAATCATTAAGTAAGTTTTGAACTGATTTACAATTGAAGTATGAACTTAACTTATAAAGTAAATCAAAAGAAAAATGTTGGGTTGTGGCGCTGCAAGAGAATTCATCATTCTACTTTGTACCGAGAGTGTCGTAAGAGGCGAACTGGGAAATGCCAGAAAAATCTTAGGACTTTCTGAATCTGCGAAGTACTATCTCGTTTATGTCAGACGTGAAATAACCAAACCAGTGACAGGTAGCAGTGTCAAAAGAGGGAGACGTCTGGTACTGTGACCATCAAACCGCTTGTTAAATGTGACGACTAAAGCAAGTTTTTTTTTTATAGAATAAGGGTGACAAATGAGCACACAGTCCACCTGATGGTAAGTGGTTGCTGTGGCCCATAGACATCTACATCTATCTTCGTTTGCGAATTAAAATGCAGATGCGTTGTCAGCCGCGAGGACTAAGATATAATGCCTCAATTTCCAGTAAAAAGAGTCTCCGGTTCTCTACACTCACCATACGAAACACAGCGGTATTAAGCTGCTATTTTACACTGGTATTCTGTGAGAGCGTGGTCCTTCCCCGGTCGAGCCGACCCATTCGTGCTACAACTATACTATTAATATAGCTGCAGCGTGGCTCTACCACGTACAGTTCTTCCTACAAAGGAAAAGTACCATGTCCAGCTGTGGATTTTTATGGGCTAGTGACGGCGAAGTTGCACACTTTGTATACGCTTCAACATACTAGTCTGCAGCCTGGCCGAATGGCCTTTGCTTAATCCAAAACAATTGCGTTTACTGTTGTGTTTCGGTCAGAAGGCTACAGAGGGAAAGTATAATTAATTGTTGCAAGGCAAGTCCATATTAGCCCTCAGACAATGCAACTGTAGCTTTCTTTGTTTTGTTTAAACGTGGTAGAGCCATGCTGCAGCTATACTAGTAGTATAGTTGTAGCACGAATGGGTCGGCTCGACCAGGGAAGGACCACGCTCTCACAGAATACCAGCATAAAATAGCAGTTTAAACGCTGCTGTGTTTCGTATGGTGAGTGTAGAGAACCGGAGACCATGAACGAGGCATTCCGTCTTAGTCCTCACGGGTGATAACGCATCTGCATTTTGATTCGCAAACGAGGATAAATGTAGATGTTTATGGGCCACAGCAACCATTTACCATCAGTTGGACCGTGTGCTCGTTTGGCACCTTATCCTATAAAAAAAAGCGAAGTTTGTTTGAAGAAAAATAACCGAGTCATCTTGTATCTTTGGCGTGGCTCTATAACCAGCCTGGGTATTTCAAATCTAGCATATACGCAATACTTGTACCGCTCTTCATCTTCTCTAACGTAGTCAAGGACCGTGTCCATCCGTGGACTGTTATAAGCTATCAAAGAAAAAGAGCAAGAAGCATCGACCTCTGAGCTTATGCGTACAAGAGTATGTATGTATAATATCTATATGTTTGTTTAGAGCAAATTAAAAAAAAATATAGGATCAGCCTTAAAATGTCAATAAAGTCTTTAATAATATTGATATAAAGTCATAAACTCCAATGATTATTATTTGTTTTAACTATAAGATATTTTAATAGTTATTGAAAATTAAAAAAAATATTGATAATTTAATTCGCATCAAGTAAGAACATTTTGTATAAAAAATGAAACTAGTTTAAATTTCTAATTCAAATGTAGGGTATGGACGTATAATGCTACAAATTATTCGCATGTTTAGACTTTTAAACATTTTAACCCTGTATGCTTTTTGGTGTTTCTAAGTGACCTTTACTAGAAAAAATATTGAACGAAAAAAATTATACTTCTACTTTGCCAATATTTTTTACTAATTGATATTTTCAGGGTGCAGCAAATTTACAAAGCTCAATTAATGCAGAAGCTGGTTTGGGTACAGCCTCCTTGGCGGCCGTATATGCGGGATTGATATTCTCAAGTTTTTTTCTGCCCGCTATCGTTATCAAGTGAGTATAATAATCCTTAATAGCAGGCAAAATTTTATCATAACAAATATCATACATACATACATACATACATACATACATATAATCACGCCTCTTTCCCGTAGGGTTAGGCAGAGACCACTTCTTTCCACTTGCTACGATCCTTACATACTTGTTTTGCTTCGTCCACTTTCATTATTCCCTTCATACATGCTCTACGGTTTAGGGTACTCTTGACCTGGCCTTTTTTCAAGACGTCCCTGATTTGGTCTAGAAATGTCCACCTAGGTCTACCCCTTCCAACACTTTCATTCACACTCGCCTTATACACTTTTTTCGTCAATCGTTCTTCATTCATTCTCTCGACATGGCCAAACCATCTCAGCATACCTTTCTCAATTTTTGTCACTACATCTTCTTTCAGACCACAACGTTTCCTTATCTCACTATTTCTTATCCTGTCACTCAGTTTAACTCCTATCATACCTCTTAATGCTCTCATCTCAACTGCATTTATTCTGCTTTCATGTTTCTTCTGCCATACCCAACTTTCACTTCCATACATGAGTGTCGGAACCAACACCCCCTCATGCACAGCCAAACGAGCCTTGTTAGACACCTTCCGACTGCTCATAAAGGAGTGCAAAGCTCCATTCACCATGTTTCCTGCATTCACTCTTCTTTCGATATCACTCTTACACTTTCCATCTCTTGTAAACTTTGAACCCAGATACACAAACTCTTTCACCTGTTCAATTTGTTCATCTTCAATTACAATATTGCAATCTGTCACTGCATCATCTTTTCAAGAAATATCGAAATGATTAAATACTAGAACAGGAAATATCCGAAATTGTATCAGAACATAAAATATGATGCAAGTATATCACACAACAGTTTTCGCATTTCTATAGGTATTTTTTTTAAATCTTAGTAAGGAGGACAAACGAGCATATATTCCACCTAATGGTATGAGGCTGCTGTGTCCCATATCTATGGGCTTACAAACATCTATCATCGATTAAAGATCAAAAGGAAAATACCTTATTATCCCAGAGGACTAAGATGAAATGTTTAACATTACCAACAAGAAGCTAAAAATATAGCATTTGCTTCACTATGGTATTCTGTATGAATGTGGATCTTTTCAGCCATATATGGTTGCAACGTGACTCTATCTGAGTCCGACAAATACGAGTAGCAGTTTAATTAGTTTTTTGTTTGCGAAACTGCCTTTATCGATGCTACTTATAAATTCTGTAGAGCCTTGAACTTTCGGTTTTTGTAAGTATTTATTTTAATTTATCCTGCTGTTGTACTACGACGTAATATTTGAGAAAAAATATGTTTAGTGTTAATATTAGAAGTGAGCGGCGTGTTTTCTTTGTTCTTCATAGATAGGTTCAACAATTTAAAAGGCCTTGTAATCACCAAAAGGTTGAGTGATGACGTCATAGGAGTATCTTAAGCTCTGGTTTCCTAGGATTACGGTGCCCCTCCATGAAGGTTGTACTAAAGCGGTGAATGACGTTGTTATAACGTTGTCTATAGAAACAAAATAGCATGGTTTTTAGAGAGCGGTACATATTTGATGCCTTAATGTCAAAAAGTTTTGCCGCTATTTGCATAACGGCCGTTTTGACGGTGCCGGGTAGTTCACGAATGTTTTTTCGATAGCGTTGACTGGTGACGGTAAACAAAATTACTTCCAACTACAACTGGAGCAGCGAGGACTACGACATTTTAATAGATTTTGTGCATAGCTATAGAGCTATTTACCCAGTTAAAACAGAATTTGTAGCGTGAAAGGAAATTTTAAATAAAACATGTACATATACAATTCACTGAAAGTAGATAATTATTTGCATTTCGCATAACAGTATATTATACTTATATAGCTACATACGTCTAGTAGTATAAATAATAATTGTGTTTACACTTAATAGTCCCCGGTCAAGCGAGATTAATTTGTACTCTTGTGATTTCGTAGAGGTATTAAATTTTCAGTAGGTAATAAAGGAGGTAATCAACAAGTTTTTGACCTGAAGGCAGTATTTTTTTTACTTCATGTCTGTCACTGCTGGGGCAGTAGTAATAGACACGAAACATAATTTGAAGTGACCATATCCAATCCTAAACGTATTTCCCGTAGTTTTTTTAGCTCATGCTAATCGGTGATGAAACTTTCCACGGTAAAGACGGCCGCTTTTTTTTTTGCGCCATAAGTATATTATAAACAACGTTATAGTGACGTCATTCAACGTGTTATTACGATCGTCATGTAGCGGCACCGCAATTCTAGGAAACCAGAGGTTAATAACCCATTTTTCCCCAAAAAGGTAATAAAAAGGTCCCCGTACCTAAAGAGTACTAATGATATCCTTCAGATCGAATTTCGGTCACAACGGCCATCCTCAATGGAGACTAGCCATCGGCGCAGGACAGGTTTATAGTGCACGAGTGTGTGTATAAATCATAAATCATTATTTTCAAGAATCATGTTATAAGAAGATGTTTCAATTTATACAGTGTAGTCGTGTATCGCTAACAATAGCGCATATCATGTTAATTATAATTTTTTACTGTTCATATTATGATTATTGCTTAAAATCTTAAAAATTTTTTGAGTGATAAAACCATTCAGTTTTTAACCAATTATGCAAATCCAATATGTTTTTTAAATAATCTTTCGCTTAATAATTTAAATTCCTTAAGTACTTTATTATAATATATTTTCATACACATATTTAGGATATTTTTGTTATATTTAACAAGCCTAGGAATGACACCTAGGACAATAATTTTGTCTGGCTCACGTCGGTGATATATCACTTGCTTTAATAAACAATGAGTTGATTATAAAAACAAACATGCCGTCTTCATAAATATATTAAATTTAGTATTATGACTTGAATTGAAAAACTTTATAAATTGTTTATAATGAGAGGTATTTAGATTTCATTTTCAAATTATATATTTCAAGCCATTTTCTTAGTGTGCTAATTGTCAATGTCATCTTCATGATTTCTAATTGTATTATTAGTTTTATTACAAGTCACAATAATTGAAACGTTATTAGCGTACAAAATATATTTATGATTTGTAATGTAAACAATGTCATTAATATATAATAGGAAAAAATCGGTCCTCATATATTTTCTTGCGGAACGCCGAATTAATGTCAAGTTATTGTTTTTATCTATTTTATCACATTGTTGTGTCTTTTAAATATGACAACTACTAAAGTACTAGTCCTTTGATCCCAACTGTCTCTAATTATTGCAATAATATATCATGTGAAACGAAATCAAAGGCCTTCGAGAGGTCAAAGAATAATAGTGTCGTTAATTGTCTGTTGTTTATGTTACTAAGTAATATTTTTACTAGCCAAAACATGGCAAGTGAGATTGATTTGTCACAGTAATCAACTATTTTTTATTATCTTTATCAGGATAATTGAACGACAATTTTGTATGTCATCCTTTCTCCCTTTTTTAAATAAAGGTTTTATAATTGACAACTATAGTGCTTCTGGAAATTTTGCAAATGAGAAAGATAAATTAATAAGATGTGTACAGACACAAGCTCAGTTGTACTTTCCGTCACTCTCATAGTGTCAAAGTCCGATGGGCAATCCGATACGACTGGAGAGAGATCAAGCGTAGAACCAAAGGCTTTACGTGATGTTCAAGACACTGGGATGAAATACAAGCAACTTTCTAACTTCGGGCTGCTACTGACAAGTGCTTGACGCAGAATTACATCATAGGACCACATACTCAGCAGTAAAAATATCTAATGGCCTGTGTAGGAATGGTGTAATAACTATCATGTTTATTCCTAATGTGAAATATCCATACAGGTAATTAGGAGCAGTGTCAAAGGTGACGAGATGACTAATAATGTGATAGTCTATGCTCCCAATATTAGGAATTTGGCAAAGTCTGCTTACATAAATTATGTTATTACTGAATGAAAAAAGGAATTCATTATTACCAAAACAGATAGCAAAAAGTTCATTTATGAATTTTAGAGGGCCGATGATGATGATGAACATGAAGAATCATTAAAAAGTTCAATGTTTTCGTATGCTATTTCAATTATGTTTAATTATTGCATCAATTGTAGCTTTCTTTTGGATTCTGTATTTTATCTCCCTCTAACTTTTCAATTTATAACAACTGCCACCCATGCTACATTACTGCGAATTGTGTTCATTCAGTTATTGATCGCTCAGATAAATTATAATTTTGATTTTGTTTCATATGATATGCGTTTTAAAATTCAAATATTTTAATACATTTCCAATATCATTTTTATATTATTTGTATTTTTTAATAAAATTGAAGTGACAAGCGAACTTACAATCATGATGATTAGTGACTACTGCAGTCTAGAGAAACCTGCAGCCAACTTCAAACGAAGAAGCCAACAGATCCGTTGTCATGTGAGGATTAGGATGGGATCCTTCACAGCCTGTATTTATACTGGTTCTCTATAGCCTTTAGACTGTAACACAGAGCAGTGTCAGACACTGCAGGTAGAAAATAAGTTCTACCACATACCTACCTAGTAAAGTTGATATGTAGAGAACATCATATTCTCTCTTATTCCCATACTTAATAATATATACGGTATACTATAAATAAAACAAATTTTCTAGATGGTTGGGCACTAAATGGGCAATGGCAGTGTCATCTTTGGCTTTTATGCCTTATATCGGTGCGCAGTTGATGCCGCGCTTCTGGACCATGATCCCCGCCGGCATCTTTCTCGGAATCGGTTCGGGTCCACTGTGGTGCTCCAAATGTACTTATTTGTCCGTGGTAAGAAGATTTATTTAAATTTATATTAAATTTTTTACTTTGGTTATGTACCCTTGTGTGTGAGAATTGAACAAATTACCAATCATTTAAAATACTTTTTATGAGATTGTAAATCAGATGATGACCTTTAAAATCAAAGAGGCCACAGCAATAATTTATAACCGCATCAAAAAACGAGTAGTTTCTATATTCGACGTGTATCTTTTTTATGTATGTTTATCGATTTATCGGAATATTGATTCATTTTAAACGTTTTTATTTAATTTGCAAAGTATGTTTGTTAGGCTCAAATCTTGCAATTGAATTTTAAAGCTTTATTTTAACCGATTGAGCTGAAATTATGCATACATGTTTAGTTTGGATGACAATGTATGGTTAGCTTTTTTTATAGGATAAAGGTGACAAACGGGCCCATAGACATCCTCATCTATCCTCGATTACGGGTCAAAATGCAGATGCGTTGTCACCCGTGAGTAGTCACCAGTAAAAAAGGTCTCCGGCTCTCTACACTCACCATACGGAGCACAGCAGCGTTGAGCTGCTATTTTACGCTGGTATTCTGTGAGAGTCTAAATCCAATCTCAATATGGCGGTGTAGTTATTTCCAATGGACTCCCATGATATGGAATCAAATGAAAGGGTTTGCTGAGAAAAAATACGAAAATAAAATGACGTTATTCTAAATCGAATATGGTGGACACCCAAAGATAGCGGACTATGTTTTTTCTATGCACCCCCATGATGTGGATATCAAATGAGAGTATTTGCTGAGAAGAATGTAGAAATAAAATGACTTCCACGTTCAACGTGGTGAGGAGATGGTGTACTACTAAATACTCGACTAAACGATAAGACTTAGCGGGGTCGCATCTTTTTTTATATAGGATAAGAGTGACAAACGAGCACACAGTCCACCTGATGGTAAGTGGTTGCTGTGGCCCATAGACATCTACATCTATCCTCGATTACGAATCAAAATGCAGATGCGTTGTCACCTGTGAAGATGTAACGCCTCGTTTCCAGTAAAAAGGGTCTCCGGTTCTCTACACCGACCATACGAAACACAGCAGCGTTAAGCTGCTATTTTACGCTGGTATTCTGTGTGAGCGTGGTCCTTCCCCGGTCGAGACGACCCATTCGTGCTACAACTATACTACTAATATAGCTGTAGCATAGCTCTACCACGTTGACTTTCTACGGCGTTTTAATTAATAGCGGGCCTGACAAATTCTAGCGGTGATAAAAAATTGAAAATGGCGGAAAACAAGAAGACCGCCATGGCAATTCTAAAGAGTTTTTATTCGGCAAAGGATAGTGATAGTTTGTTGGTGCTCGAAAAAATTTGACAAATTATGGCGATGAAAATTTAAAAGATTTATTTTCAAGTTTATTTTCTTCTTTTTAGAGTATTTCAATAAAAGCTTGTTTTTAATTTTTTTTAAGTCCCATATAAATTTGAATAAAAATTATACACGAAGTTTTTAATGTGAATATTTAAACCACATTCTAGTTGTAACCTATAATTTGTATTGTTCCTTAGTTCACTTTAAAGGGTAAAAAATTAAACTAATAATATAAGTATAAATCTATTTCAAAAACTGAAAATAAATAAATAATTATACTCGTATCAACACAACAAACTTTATGGCAAATTCCGAATCTATAAATTGGAAATTATTTTATTCCTTTAATTTTGTGAAGTCAATTTTTACTTTATTGTAATTAATGTATTAGGAGTACCCTTAACCGACGAGCGTGTATGCGTAGATATATGGATGTGAAAGAGGCGAGAGAGGTGTGTCAGGATCGCGCCAAATGGAAGTCCGTAGTCTCTGCCTACCCCTCTGGGTGACAGGCGTGAGTGTTTATGTATGTTTATGTATGTATGTAATTAATGTTATAAGTTAATAGACCTCTAAGATAGAAATTTCTGTCAAGACGATATAACTAATCTTATGCTATCCGTGCTTCAGCTTAATATGTTTTTGTTTTGAATGTTTGCGTGTATACTTTCTTGTTTGTCACCTGCCTTAACAGTTTCATCAGAGAGATAGTCGCGAACAGAAAGCCTGCAAAAAAAGAAAAATTGCGACGTGCCTGAGCACATCATTAGTGGCTAATATTATTAACGCATTGACCTCAATATTATATACCTACGTGTATAATAGAGGTTAATGTATTAACGGCATCCTGATGTCGTTAATAATACCAGAGTTTTAGTTCAAAAAGCGACTGTCTTAGTGACAAAGTACTGAAGGACTGTGTAGTGTGTATGCATTGGATAATCGTTAGTTAGTTGTTTTACCATTGATTTGGTTTTGTTCACGGCCCGATCGTGGATTGGCATCTATAATGTCAAACTATTTAACAGCGAACATCGAATGTATTTAAACATGGTAAAAAATCGTTAATGTTTAAACTTTTTTTTATTTTAAACATTATTATTGCCGTGTAGTAATCATCAAAGTTTTGTTATTGGTCGTGACTGCGAAACATTTTTAAACTTTTTACATCCTTTTTATATGTTTATATCTTTGGGAACGATAGTACGTACACTATAAATTTAGTCGTTATAGTTAAATAATAAAAGTATTTATTAGTTATTTCAAACCACCTTAGATCACTCGCTTTATTTACTAATTGTGGACTAATAAAACAAATTATCTTAATAACTCACCATAGTAAAGATAGATCTGGAACAGAATAATGGTTTTTATACGTTTTGATGAAGGTTGCCACTTATTATGATGAAAGCTTTCGGGCAATTATGACCACGCCAACAACTTCCGAATATTTTGAGAAAGTTTTGATTGCGCAGTACATATGAAATTACACAGGGACTCTAGTTCGTTCTTATCTACACTAATGCGATTAATTAATAAATTGATTAATAACACATACGCGACAAGAACAGAGGTAGACTCGGATCTAGATTTTCGTACTACCTTATGGTGTCAAACGAGCACACAAACAATCTCATGGATGCTGTGCCCCAGGATTAAGATACTTTTGCAGATTTTATTTTATAAAACAGAAGTGACAAACAAACTAGTATGAGCACATTAATAGTATGAGCTATTCCGGGTCGATAGTACAAATGGGAGTGCCTCAAGGCTCGATTCTCGGCCCCTTTTTGTTTCTGGTATATATTAATGCTTTATACTCGTAGTATTATTTGCTAATGACACTTAATTAATTTTAAAATTAAAACTTACAGTCCACCTAGTAGTAAGAAGGTACTGTTTCTATATACAGCATAATATAAACAACTGCTAGTTCACTTCAAACAAAGATGCTGCAGATACTTTGGCACCTCTTAGTACTAAAAGGTAATGACTGGCATGCACTAGTACTTGGCGAAACACACGTGAAGTACCAGCTTTCAAATAAAAAAAGAATCATCGAAATTGGTTCACCCAGAAAAAAGTTCTGAGGTAACACACATAAAAAAATCGAAAAAAACAACATACAGTCGAATTGAGTACCTCCTCCTTTTGGAAGTCAGTAGAAAAGATACGAAACACAGCAACATTATGGTGTTATTTTACGCTTGTAACCTGGAAGGCTGTGCTGTAATCATAATATAGCTGGAAGCTTTACCATGTAAGAGTCAAAGACACGGGGCAGCCACAACACACTAGCTATCATGACATTTACATCTAGATTTTAATATCTAAATATCTTCGTGCTGGGTTGTACAACAAGGTACGGCGGACAGGTTTTTGATCGTCTTATTAATACAATACATATTTAAATATTGGATATATGGCTATTCATTTGGTGTCGGATTGCTGACAGGTTTTTATAATTCTAAGTCATGTGGCAGCAGATCGACATCGGACATTTATTTAAATTATTTATTTATTTAAATTATTCGTAAAAGTGTGCGTTTGACCGCTTTTGTGCGTACGACATAATTCTACATATACTGCGCTGTTAGCGAAGATGACTTTCTACGACTGTTTACGTTATAGAAAACTATAACACAGGAATTCACATTCAAGATAGGGGCTCCTCTCGGGGACGATTCTGCCAATTTAGGCACTGTGTCGAATTCAACCTTTAAATATTTCATAGACAAAGAAACCTCCAATTTGTCAGATGTCAGGGGTGGGTTGCTGACTGTCCGAATTTCGTTACAATTTCCTCAATCAAACATGCCCTAGCCATGGATTATTATTTATGTATGCCCCTAGCTTATCTCTTCATATCATGAAACGTACATTGAAAAATTGTGGAAAAAAGACAGTAAAATGGCTAATAAGCTTTAAAATTTTTAGTTTTTCTGAGACACTGCGTGCTTGTCTCCTTTTATTTTTTTTTTTATAAAATGCTTATCTTTTGCTGCCGTCAAACGATTTGTACAAATAGAATCAATCATTTTTACAAAGCTGTAATTACATTAAGTAAGTACCTACTTAAATTTTGACGAACCTCGACAGTTTTTAAAAACACAATTTAAAGTATAAAATGATTTAATGTTCTTTCGAAGATGGTTAGTTACAGAATGAATTAATATTAATGTTAATTAAATAAGTCTTGGACAATTATCATGTCGCCACCGGATGGGTGAGGGAGTTGTTCGTCTTACATTACTTAGAATTATCACTCAACCTTTCACGCATATTATGCTGATGTGGCTATTTGGAATACTGAGCCAGGGACGGATTGAGGCGATATTACTAAGTACTTTGTATTTACTTTCAATAAAATAGTACAATACTATATAATTAAAAAAAAATTGAAAATTACCAGCGATATCGAATCGAAATCAGGAAGAATTTTCATGTAAAACTATAGAGCAACAAGGGCTACCGGCGGACCGGAGGGGTGTAGCTACAGCGTTTTTCAACGATACATAGCTGTCTGTCATTTTTTGCGGGTGGAAATTTGCGCACACAAAAACAATCGTCTGCCACTACGAAACTCCAAAAAACAATTAAAACAATAAACTAGCGAATTCACACACACATAGATACATTATTACAGTATCACTCGGTGACACCGACAACTCGGATACAGACTCGGATCAGTCGCTCGCGCAATCTGCATATTGTATGAGGATGAGCGGGCTGTGTTGGTAAATAAATCCGAAACAATATGACCGATAATATTTTAATTTTTAAGTATAAAAGGAAGTAAATAGCAGTAATTAGATTAAAAATTACTTATATGTGAAAGGTAACGCCATCTTTTTGTAAATTTGACGTGGCAGATTTCTTTTTACAGAAAAAATCTGAACAATTCGGCATTTTTGTAGGAGGTCGATTCAGCCGCGTGACTAGATTTAGTTTAATGAGCAGTGCGGCTGCAACTAGTTTTATTGTACGCATAGGACCGCGTGGAATTATACTTTGACAGAGGGGAACGCATGCATTTGACGACTCCCCTCTGAACCGCCGCGCCGTTGGCCCGTGTGGCTGTATGTGTAAAACATAATTAAACCTCTAGGGTTTTACCTAAAGGTTGAATATTGAATCAACAAAAAATGGAATGATGGATTTCGGGGGATTGTTCACCCATTTACTATTAATTACAGTGTAAAACGAATGCAAATGACATATTTGACCTTCAAGTTACGCGACATTTACATGATATAGCGTTGATTTGATTAATTTTTATAGTTTTCTATAGCGTTGACGATCGTAAAATGTCATTTTGGCTAATCAGGCCGGTCTCATTGTCGACAGTGTGTCGTTCGACTAAAAGTTTAGTCTCTTTCGAAAATTATTAAGTAATGTATTTTACTTTTATTTTATAACGTTTCTTCCACACTAGGATTTTATTCCACGCAGAATTTCCTCGTGTTTTATGGATGCGATTTACATACATGAATTGCACATGTACAAATATGCAAATTATCTACCAAGTTGTTCCGTGTGGTATTCGAATTTGCAGCAGGAACCGCCGCAGCCCATCGAATAGCTGTAACCGTATTTAAACCTAGGATCCTTTGCTATAGATAAATTATCTACGAAGTGAATGCATTAATTACTTAAAATAATTATATTTCAGGTAGCAGAGGTTCATAGCAAGATTTCTAACATTCCAACCGAAGCGTTGCTCAGTCGTTTCCTTGGATTGTTTTTTATGATCTTTCAGCTGAATCAAGTATGGGGAAATCTCATTTCTTCTTTGGGTAAGTTTATCAACCAACGTGCATACAAATTACGAATGTAAATTTTATACTAGAATATTCATCAATACATTTGATGCCTGTTGTCATAGGGAATCACTGAAGCCTAAGACTAATGACTGCGAAAATTAGCAGCCTAAACATTTGAAATATATTGTAGAAATATATTTTAAACGTGGTAGAGCCATGCTGTAGCTATATTATGGTTGTGGCACGAACGGGTCGACTCGACCTGTGAAGCACCACGCTCTCACAGACTACCACCGTAAAATATTGGTGAGTGTAGAGAAAGGGATACCCTTTTTACTAGAAACGAGGCATACCATCTTAGACCTCAGGGGTGGCCAACGAATCTGCATTTTACTTCATAATCGGGCCACAGCATCCACTTAATATCAGGTGGACTGTGGGCTCATTTGTCTTCCTTATTCTATAAATATATAGATAGATAGAACTTTTCTAAGTATAAAGCCTTTTCGAGCGAGTTTGTGTAGATATATACAGTTTGAAAGTACGTAAGGTAGTATTCTCATTATTACGATAAAATCCAATGTGCAGCAGTGGATATAAAATGAAATGAAATATGTATATATATTTCCGTTAGTTTTTGTGTGAATCATGAATACACAGATGTACAGACTGACAAATTTTCTGAAAACCACAAATAATTTGGCTTTATGTCCTTTATTTAGTCCTCTGGACATGCATTGTCCCCCAGGAAATATTTAGAATTACAGACACGACTTCTCTAAAGATTTATTATATATATAGATTTTAGATAAAAAAAAAAACCTTAAACTTATCAAAAATGTTTTAACCATCTGTTTTTCAGTTTTATCGTCGGGCAACAACGAGGCCGCAGTAACTGGGTTAAACGAGACTCAGATTCCGGAGTTTTGTGGCGCTAACTTTTTACCCAACGCCGATGCTGGCGATGCTTTGCAAACTCAACCGCCTGAGAGGATTCAAATGATAGCTGGTAAGTGTAGTATAGTGGCGGAGTAAGAATATCCACTAGCTTATATCATCACGAGAGTATTGTAAAAGGCGACAGAGGGAAACAAACATGGAGACGGGCAGCAGCGTCTCCTTAATAACAGTTATAAAGTACAAAACTTCCATTGCAAGCACGAGCCAGTCGTGGCAACTATGGGAAGTGTCCCCCTTATGAGGCAATCTGTGAAGAGGCAGTGGTAAATACGTTAAGCTGCTAATTAATACGTGTATTTTGTGAGAGCGTGGTCCTTCCCCGGTCCCCGGTCCATTCGTGCTACAACCATAGTATAGCTGCATCATGGCTATACAACGTAAAAGTTACGCCTAACGCCTTTATTAAATCATTGCCCACGTCCCTTCTATATTGAGGAATGAAAGTGAAAGGAATATATGGTTTAGTTTACTATACGAGTAGAATATAGGAGTTTTAATTTAAATTTCCTTAATTTTAATTCCAGGTATATACTTAGCGTGTTTAGCTGGTGCTGGTCTCATTGTTGCAGTCGGAGTGGATTCTATGAAAAGGTATTAATTTTTTGCTTATTTTTTTTAGCTACAGTTTCATAGATTGATTAAGTTTCTGATGTCAGTTAGCAATACATGTATGAGGTTTATTAAGGAAAAAAACATGCGTGAGTGTCGTGGACATAGAATTATTACGCATAGAATACTAGTACGCGCACCGAAAGTGAAGCAAGTAAAACTAACTCGAAACCGCGTAAGTTGACTCAGCGACGCGTCAGAGAAGAGCTCGCGAAAAATTGTAAAAATTACCGTTTGTGTTGTAAAATATTGTCACAACGGTGATGATAAACATAAAAGAAGTAATGGTATTACATTTCACATATAAGTTTATACATTTAATTCATTATAAGTACGTAAAACTAAAAAAATACTTACCTAAGCTCTCATAATACAAATGTTGCTAGTTGTGGGGAAAAAATCACAATTTTCTTTGAAAAATATTTATTTTCTATTTGTGTTTAAAACGTTTAATCGCAACGCTCTGTGTAAAACTCAAATGTTTATATATAGATACATACTTCTCTAAGTGTTAACATTATATTAACAATGGGTGGGGTTAATCGCGATTCGTCGACACCATTTTAATGCGACTATTTTATTTTAATTGCTTTTTTTATTGACTAAGGTTACGTTTTAGAGTATAGAATAAAAACTTTTTTATTTACAACATCATGAGATTATTAATAAGAACGCCTTTACTAACCAGATGTCACTTTACACCCAAACATTAACCAGATGTTACGTTAGACCCAAACATAGCCTATTTTAACCGACTCCCAAAAAGAAAGGTTATCAATATGTATGTACACTGATTTCTAAGCTTGATCAATTCGTATATATATGCTGAAATTTTAGTGGTTGTTGTTCCGCAGCCAAATTATACTGACTCGATAGTAGAGTCAATTTATTAAATTAAAAAATATTACAATTAAAAAAGGGCAGATTTACAGTTGTAATACCTCACAAGCTATTCGGGCGTCCAAACTATGTATCTTATGTCGTATCACTACGTTTGAGAGTTCATGTTATGAACATTTATTAGTGGTCTTTCACTGTGTAGGAAGCGCGCGGTAGCACGTGCGATAGACGTAACACTACATTACGTCCAGCGAATTTTTTTTCAGACTTTATTATAGTAATTCGGTATAAGCTAGCCTGTACACCCGACCTACTTGCGAGATATTGCTATTGGTTTGAGATCGCATTCGAGTATTGTTTTTCTCCATTGTAAATCTGCCATTTTTACATCTATTCTATTGTACTACTAAGGCAAAATCATTTTACTTCGGGAAAACAACCATTAAAATTTCAGCGTGTGTATTGGATCAATCTGTGTGTATATCCTTACAAAAAAAATCTAAATCGGTTTAGAAATTGTAGAATTCTGAGGTAAAAAACATTAAAAAATACACCGAATTGATAACCTCCTCCCTTTTTGAAGTCAAGAATAATTCTATGGTCGTGGAACACTCAGTTGGAACGAAGTTTCTTTCGTAGTATATTAATATTGATAAACGTATTATATTATTGATTAACAAATACAAATAATTTAATCACTAGTATCTAAGATAAAATGAAGCGTCATTTGAAATAAAATAATATTTTTGTCATGGCAAAAGTGCGAGAGAGATGGATATTATTTCATTTCGCTTTCTCATAGCCGCCAAGGTCGTCTGCACTACGTCAGAAGAGGTCGTGACGGAAAAATCTTACACTTTTTCTCGCCTAGCCCCCATCCGCAAATTCATACCGTCCGATAAGGAACTTCGTTCCAATAAATCGGACATAAATTTTGCATATTTCTACGATTTCTGTGATAAAGCGATGCTTAATAAAAGCAACTATCGGTCACGGGGGCAAGAAATTCAGGTATTTCTATCGCCACTACGCTTGCCAAGCGTAGTGAGTAAGGTAAATCTACCCTTCAACAGACGACGGCTGTGTCCGTCTGTGAATAGGAATCACCTGATAATGAAGAATAGAGCAACACGGGCCGTTTCGGAGGGGATCGGTTCATAGCTATGCTCAAAGAGTTAAAAATCACTACGTTTAGCTATGATAAGATCCGATAGGAGGTACTGTTGTCAAGTTATTAATAAACTAGCTGTACCCCGCGACTTCGCCCGCGTGGAATTTGTTACGATTGGATTTCATGGGTTTTAATTCTGTTGCGCGAAACCCTAATTATTTTACTAAAATAAAAGTTACTCCTTATAACATCAGTTATCAGCCAGTGAAAACCCCGTCAAAATCGGTCCAGCCGTTTCGGAGATTAGCCGGAACAAACAGACAGACAGACATACAAACATTTTAAAAATTGTTTTTTTGTCATACGTACCGTAAATCACAGAACACTAATACCCTTAGGCGGGAAGAATGTCAACTTCAAACAAAGAAAATGGCACCCATAATGCACGCCATCTCTGTCGTGCCCCCTAAAACTTTTTGCGCGGGAATTTTGACACGTGATTTTTTTTTAGTTGTCGTCTTGGTTGTTTCGTTTCAAAAATGGCTTAAGAATGTAAAATACCATATAGATAGATATAGCTTGTAGTTTTTCGTTTCAATGATATATATTGCTAAATTAAAACGAAAACAAAAGCACAAAGTTATTTGTAAATTATGGTACTTTACATTCATAAACCACTTTTGAAACGATTAGCAATCATTTTAATATAAAAAAGGAACTATTTTTCAAATAAAAGTGGTTTTTGAAATACATAATTTTTATTTACATTACATACTTGTCTACATTGGTACATAGAAAAACCGTTGGTACATTGATGGACGTAAGTGACGGAGTAATTAACTAATTTTTAACATGGCATATGTAACATGACATTTAAGCAAAATGGAAAGTAAAGGTACATTGGTTTTATATAAAAAAGATTAGACAATCTAATATAAACACTTTTTTCTAACAAGAAAACATTATTTACCTTCACATTCTACAAACAAGGCAATAGCTTTGCAATATTATGTCTAAACTCCAATAACCTGATTATATTATAGATGCCACCAATAATATTACATTTGTAGAAATTATTTTCGTTATGTTATTGTTATTGACTGCATTAAAAACTAATAAGTCAACATTTTCATGTCATTAATTAGCACTACCTGCTGCAAATCCATCCACGAAAAACAAAAAGGATAAAGATATGTTGATAAAAATGAAATATCATCTGAGAAAAATTAACAGGCTTCAAAAAACTGTAAAGCATCTAAAGAATGAAGAATTTCTCAAAGTATTGAGCAAAAATAACTCCGTAAATGAAATATTAAAATGTAAAATATCCCCCTCTTTTGCAAACTGCTCTTCAAAGAAAAACTGATATCCTGCAGAATAAATAAGATGTTACATGGATATATACGTAATTAACTAATTTTTAACTTTATGCATGTAAACAGTTCTGAACAGCTCTTAACTAAATATCGATTTAATAGTTAAGTAGTTATTATTATTTTTCGATAATACAGGTAGATGTCCAAGTGTCACAGCATTTACTTGCTAAATTCTATAAAAATACAAATGTATGTGATATCCATATCCCACAGTAAACTTAAAAGTTAGTTGCATAGCAATACGATTGTTTGTAGGGTGACTAATAAACTATCCGACATTAAACGATAAAAAGACTGTAAGGTATGATTCGCACCAGTAAAGTGATAGTTTCGAAAATACTATATTCGAAATCCAAAAGTGGCTCTATATGGCAAATATTTTAAAAAAAAACTTAAATTTAAATCCTACCTGCCTCACGGAAGCAAGGAATATCTGACCCACTCCGACTAAAACTCTCAGATGTTTCATCTTCACCACTTATCGGCAGGACTACGGGTACACTTTTACACACATCCATAGCCTCATCAGCGCTAGTCACTCCTTGGCAGCCTCTCTCGAGAGAGGACAAATCCTCCCTCTCCTTTTATCTCCTTATATAATGTCACCACTGAAGTGATTATGACTGTACATATAGAAAAAGTAGTTCCATGTAATATCTTATTTATTCTGCAGGATATCAATTTTTCTTTTAAGAGCAGATGCAGAGTACTCTTCTGCAAATTGCCGATTTTTCAAAATACAAAATCTCTTCATACAAATGTGAAATACGCTATTAAATAAGTAATCTATATTCATATCTTTATGTTCTGGACATTCATCGAGAAACTCCCAATTTATTGAGTTTTTGAACAAAACTTTAATTGTCCCTTTTAATTTTTTTTTATATGCTTCTGCCTCTAAAAAATCATAAATCATCGTAGCACTACTTTCAATACAGTTAATGAGGTTTTTAGAGGCGTATTTAAGGGACTTTTTTAGATCACTATATTCTTTAAAGTCAATAAAAGTATGTGATCTCTCTTGTGTCTCAGATACAAAAATTTTTTTACAAATTTCACATTTGTTGAGATTATTTTTTACTATAAACCCACAGACATAGGCACATGCTTGTATTTCGCCACTGCTTTCTTCCAAGCTACATTCAAATGTAGAATTTACACTTTCTTCTAACTCATCGGTTAAAATTGTGGCATAAGCAGTGTGTGTGTCTGTGGGTGGAGACAATAAAGATTTAAAATTTGTCAATATAACTTGATTTTGGTCTTCTTCACAATTTCCTGTCCCAATAAAAGATAAGTTGCTAAGGACAGCCGTTTTAAGACCCGCAACAAACTGCCCAGCAGCGGGATTTGAATTGCAGCCGCAATTGACCCGAATGCATCCAAAAAGATTTTCTAACGGGTCCTGCTGGAGCCTTCTTGTTTCCAAACTTTTTATTGATTTATGTTTGGAACTGAGATTTCTCCAAATTCGTTCTATTCCATTGATAGACCATATCCAACCTTCTTGGGATGGAGGAGCTCGTAATGCATCCCAAAAACGTCATTTCTTTAAAAAAATTCTTCATTAAAGTGAAATGTGTGAGATGTGGTGTATTATTTGTCATGTTTGTCGAATATGGTTTCCCCCTTCTTAGGTCTGGTGAGCATGCGTT